TTTTGTTCCTTACTGACAGCAATTAACATTATTATGGTTGAATGCATTCAACTGTCCACTTAATTAAAAAAAAACTTTCAAGACATTAAATAATTTCCAGACTGTAAAATTACATTTAACATAGGTTTGTTTTTGTAAAACCTGTGCTATCTGTGTGATAAGTTTGCAACACTTCTCAATCTCGCCAATCCTTGACGAGGTATTAAGTCATACATTTGAAATCAAATTTAAGGCTCTTTGACAGGTTAATCTAAAACTACTCCAATGTTAGGGGAGAACCTTTTACTGTTGTTTTAAAACTGTTGTTTATTTAGTTTGCAAAAAAGACCTAGGGCCCTATTTGCCCACTGCTGTCAGCTCTGTGCAAAGTTGAATTCACACCAAATTACTTGACTAGCTGGTCATACTGTATGTTTATAATGCTAGTGCATCTGTTCTTCCCATCACATAAAGTAAACATGAGAAACACAGCCAAGGAAATGAGACAGACACCTTCCAGTTCCTCAAAGGCAAACAGATGGTTCACATGTGGTCTCTACACACTCTTACGCCTACCATATCCAATCTTATTTGGGATTATCCCATAAAAGTCACTTGCCACAATAGACTGCACAAAAAGGTAACCCATAAATGCCTTAAGAGAGGAAAAATTGGATTATTTATGTTCAGTTAATAAAACATTAAAGTGAGTCTAAATGGATAAAGTTGTGAGCAGCATGTTTTTACTTTGAAATTTGAGATAAACATGTAAAGTTCACCTTCTAGGTTTATAGTTAAGCTGTACTGTTTGAGAGTGGAGTAAAAGCAGTAGTGTAATGGTTGGACTTTCCCCCAGATGCAGTCAGGAACAGCTTTCCTCATGATGGAAAGCCAAGCGTTAATCAGTTCTCTGTAATGGAACACAGTAGGAAACTATAACCATTACAATGAATAATCAATGATATATGTTCTATTAGAAAATGAGAATTGAATCAGCTTGCTCTGACAAACCATCTTCAAAATTTCTTTATTCTCAAGTAAATGAAATGTAATTTCTGAAGCACTCTTTAAATCATCAAATGCCTTTAAGGTTTTGAAGAAAATTATTTAATTGGTCCAATTTGGCAAGTAATGAGTTAAATTAGGTTAGAAATTAAAAAAAAAACTGTGACCTTCAGGGCTTTGAATTTAAGTACTTAAATGCAGCTGCAATGCATATAACTAAATCATTTGTGATGCTGTAGTACCACATTGATGTTAATGTTCCATATAGACTATTTTAAGTTACATTTAAGCAAAATATGAAAAACCTAAATTAGAAATGATGAACAGTTATAGGAATGATAAATATGGTGTATTGAACATCCAAACAGAACAATGTGTTCAGCAAAAATATTATACAGCAAAATACATACATCAATAACAAAAATAACGATTCCTATCTATAAAAGTAATATCAAAACAGCGACTCCTTGGCCCACCAGACAAATGAGCATGTTGCCTGATTGGGGTGCATGACACTTAATTTTCCAAGAAGCCAATTAAACTACCATTATGTCTTTGGAATAGAAAAAACAAATGTCTGGGAGGAATCTGAAACACTTGGTGAAAACCTAAGTGAACATACAGTAGGGAGAGCATACAAACTCCACACAGAGAGGATCTCAACTCCAGAATTAAACTTTGGGCCCCAGCATCGTGAGGCAGCAATGCTAACCATAGTGTCACTATGCCATCCTCTTTGTGAAAGAGATAAACATAACTAATACTAACGTATCCACTAAGACTGTCATCTTATTGAACATTATCACTGATTAAAAATTCATAATTGTATAGATCATATGATCTAAAATAGTTTGTTTCTGAAATGATTCTTTCACATTAATTTTAACTTTTTAATTTGATGTTTGTTTTAAAAATGTTCCCCCTTGCAATA